GCATTGAGGAGTGATCATGATGGTGAGTACGAATCCCCGTTTGCCGAGACTTGTGCTCAATTTGGGATTATTCACCAAACCACAACGCCTTATTCGCCTCAGTCAAATGGTGTTGCTGAGCGGAAGAACAAGACGCTGAAAGAGATGATGAATGCAATGTTGATAAGTTCTAGGTTGCCACAGAACTTATGGGGGGAAGCAATTCTCTCCACGAATTATATTCTTAATAGAATACCACAGAAGAAAGTGGACAAGACTCCATATGAGTTGTGGAAAGGTCACAAGCCTTCATATAAATACCTACGAATGTGGGGGTGTCTTGCAAAAGTGGCGGTACCTACACCCAAGCGGGTTAGGATAGGTCCGAAAACCGTGGACTGTATTTTCATTGGTTATGCACAAAATAGTAGTGCATATAGATTTCTTGTGCACAAGTCTGATATTTCAGATATACACAAGAATACTATCATGGAATCTAAAAGTGCACCTTTCTTTGAAGATGTATTTCCATGTCGTCCCCAAGACAGGGTTCCGAGTTCCATGAAAGAAATAGATGATCACGAAGACGATCACATAGATGGTCACATGGATGATCAAACAGTTGATCAAATAACTGATCAAGTAGATGATCAAGCTGATGAAGTAGATGAGCCAAGAAGGAGTAAAAGGGCTAGAACCACCAAGTCTTTTGATCCAGATTTCTTGACTTATATGTTAGAGGGAGAAACTCGAACGTTCCATAAAGCTGTGGCTTCACCTGAAAGTCCTTTATGGAAAGAAGCAATTAAGAGTGAGATTGACTCCATCTTACAGAACCATACTTGGGAGTTGGTTGATCTACCCCCAGGCAGTAAGGCCTTGGGGAGTAAGTGGATCTTTCGAAGAAAGATGAAAGCGGATGGGTCAATTGACAAATATAATGCTCGGCTAGTTATCAAAGGATACAGACAGTGAGAAGGCCTGGATTACTTTGATACATATTCACCTGTGATAAGGATTACATCCATTCGCATGGTGATTGCAATAGCAGCTTTACGTGGTTTAGAAATATATCAGATGGATGTAAAGACAGATTTCTTAAATGGAGATTTAGATGAAGAAATCTACATGTAGCAACCCGAGTGGTTTTCAGCTCCAGGAAAAAGTAAGAAAGTCTGTAAGCTTGTCAAGTCAATGTATGGTTTGAAGCAAGCTCCCAAACAATGGCATGAGAAGTTTGACAATGCTATGTTGTCAAATGGATTTCGAATCAATGAGTGTGATAAGTGTGCATATGTTAAAGACACTGACAAAGGTTATGTCATTTTGTGTCTATACGTTGATGAATACTCATTGTTGGTAGCAATGATGAAATGATTAAAGCTACCAAAAGATTGTTAAACTCTAAGTTTGACATGAAGGATATGGGCCTTGCAGATGTCATTTTGGGTGTTAAGATCACTAGAACATCTAGTGGTATTGTACTTTCTCAAGCTCATTATGTTAATAAGATACTTGAGAAATTTGGAAAGTCAGATACAAGTATGTTTAGGACACCGGTAGACTTAAGTCTATATTTGACCAAGAATAATGGTGAGAGTATCTCTCAACTAGAATATTCTCGGGTCATTGGGAGTTTGATGTATCTGATAAGTTGTACAAGGCCGGATATCGCCTACGCTGTTAGTAGGCTGAGTAGATACACGAGTAATCGTAATACTACTCATTGAAAGGGCATTATGCAGGTGTTGGGGTATATCCGTTACACCCTGGATTATGGGCTGCATTATACCAGATACCCAGCGGTACTAGAAGGGTATAGTGACGCAAATTGGATATCTGATATAAAAGATTCCAAATCCACTAGTGGTTATGTGTTTACCCTTGGAGGGGCAGCCGTGTCTTGGAAATCTGCCAAGCAAATGTGTATCTCGAGATCAACGATGGAATCTGAGTTTATTGCTTTAGATAAAGCAACTGATGAAGCTGAATGGCTTCGCCAGTTTGTTGAGGATATTCCACGTTGGCCGAAACCTGTGCCAGCTATCAGTATTCACTGCGATAGCCAATCAGCGATTGGTCGGGCACAGAGTAATATGTATAATGGAAAGTCTAGACATATCCGTCGTAGACATAATTCCATACGACAACTACTCTCAAATGGAGTGGTCTCTCTAGACTATGTCAAGTCTAAGGACAACATTGCGGATCCACTAACCAAAGGGTTAACTCGAGAGTTAGTAGAAAAGTCGTCAAGAGGAATGGGGTTAAGGCCTTTAGTAAAGGTTACCGGAACGGAAAACCCAACCTAGTTGACTGGAGATCCCAAGATCTAGGTTCAAAGGGACAACCTAATTTCGTGTAATAGGTGAGTCACTGAAGAGGTAAATCCTCTTGCCCATTCCTTTATACAGTGATGCCCAGTGGGGGTGGAAGGTTAAGCTAATGCTTTTAATGACCTTAGTGATATGGTATAATGAAATACCGTATCTAGGTCACCTATGTGAGTGCGAAGTGGGGCCGCTTCTTTGAGAATTGCCAAGGTCAAATTCTTTAAAAACACTCACAGAACTAGGCTAGTGTTCCAGGGCCATACCGGACATACCAGTGAGAACAAGAACAATGGTTGGACTAACTCCTGTGTGAGGTTTATTGTCTCGGTTTACATAAACGGCAGAACAGTTCAAGACATCGCGTTCACCGGTTAGCCAGTAAATCTGATAGGCTTTCACTACGAAAGGTTCAAGGCCAACAGCTACCTTTTCTGATACAGGGTTAGTCTATGTGCTCTCTCTCTTTCCGAGTCTTTGTTGATAAACGTTGAGCGTTTGCTGTATTCGGTCAATTTTTATTCATGTGGGGGATTGTTGGAGAAAAATGATTGAATAAGAAATTGCCTCATAAATGTGTATATAACTCACACATTTAAGGCTCATCAGTTTTACAAAATTGATTGGGCAGTTTTGCTAGCACTAGTTTCCAGCCTTGATGGCTAGAGGCTCCTCCCCTCTCCCCCATGGTGTATAAAAGGAGGCCCTATTCCTTGAAAAGATATATAGAATTTTTCCTTGACATCCATACACTGTCAGTCTACTTCTCCTATAATTTTCTTCCTGAAAGAGAGTGTTGCCGTTGTCCGTTCGCTATGCTAATCAGAAGGTGCTTTTGTTGTAGCTGGTAAAAACCGTCGTATCCTGAGAAGTAGACGCCGGCGTACCTCCAGCATCTAACAGTGAGGCGGCAAATCTATTTTAAGGAGATTGTGGTATCACACAGGTTTCGGTTTGCTTCCTTTAACCATTTTATATTTTATCTGTATTTTATTCAGCATGTTATTTTTCTTGAGATTGAAGGTTTGTTTTGTTCATCTCATAATTTTGCGATATGCAATGTGAAATTATGTAATGTGAGCAGTTTTTCCCAACAAGTTTGTTATTAAAAATATGTATGACATATTGATAAGAATAATTTGATGATATGATAATTCATGTTGCATCAATTAATTTTTTTGCATAGATAATTTTTTCAATTAAGTATATGAGATGGGATAATTTAGATATTAAGATTCAGGAAAATGTATGGGACTCTTTTTAGGGAGACCACTACCATTCTCACAGTGATGTGGACTAATGATGTATTTGTAATTTTTTTTTTTCCTTTCTCTTTTTTACTTGGACTAATTACAAGTGAGTAGAGATTGTAAAGGTGATATTATCATACCAAGGGCATTTCCCAAGATTAAAAAAAGGGGGGGGTGAAAGCCATCCAGACGTTAAAAAAATAAAAAATAAATAAATCTATTGACAAAATCAAAAAAGCGAAACAAAAAAATTGTTTCACAAACAACTTTCAAAAATAAATATTTCTAATTTAGTAATGATATTAACTAGTTCTTGTGTTAGGTTTTATTTCTTGGCAATCCCGTTTGACAAAACTCCTTTGAGTTATAATTTTATTCGCATTTTTATTTCAGTGAGGCTATGAGTTGTTAGATGCGAATCCAACCCGAATCAAGCCTTTCAGAGAAGTTTGTAATGCTAATGCTTTCAAAAATGCATTTCAAGTTGCCTGTCCGCTCGAGCAGACATTACCCTGCTTGAGCGGAGAATCCCTGGTTCCAGAAGTTTTGGTCGCCTGTAAAAGTACTGAGCTGTGTGATTTCGCGCTCGAGCGGGTTCTCTAGCGCTCGAGTGGACCTCTGTTATATCACGCGCATATTTTCCCGAAGTCGCTCGAGCGGGCTGTTTGGCGCTCGAGCGGAGATCGCGGGACAAATTCTATAAATTCGTGTGTTGGGTCAGTTTTTAGGATTACTACCCCAAATCTTCTTTTTGGGTTCTAGGGTTTATATGTGGGGATACTTTGTAAGTTTTCTTTGATGTTTTGATTGAGTATTCAACACATGTTTTAAAGAGAGTACATCAAAAGTTTTGTTTGTTCTACAAAAGAGAGAGTTGTTCTTCGGTGGATTTTGAAGAATTCGAGCCTGAAGCTTTGGTGGATTCCGGGGTGGCTCATCGTAAAGACAATTCCGAGGTGAAGACAGGTTGGAAGAGGCACATAGAAGTTGGTTCAATTAGGCGTGGATTCGCTAGGTAATTGAGAGTATACCTGTGTAATTCCTTTAAATCTTCTTAGTGGATTGTTTTGTGGCTGTTGTCCGTGATTTTTTTATCACAGTTGGAGGTGTCCAATTGTGGTTTTTTCCACGTAAAATCGTTGTGTTGTTTTGTCTTGATTGTTTGATTGGGATTGTTATATATTGCTTAAAATTGATACATAATCACAAATCAACATCTAGGAGATTTTTAAATTTTTTCATCTTGCACTCTCATTATTTCTATTTCTCAAAACACCAAATACAAAAACGAAAATAGAACCGAAAACAAATACCAAAATGTTGAAAACAATGTTTTGTCAGGACATCAACGTTCTTAACGTGGTAGACCATGTTTGTTCATGACATTTGCCTTTATAAATACGCTCCTTAATTTCACATAGATCACCACAACTTTCCCACCTCTTCTTCCCATTTTTTAGCAACCTTAAACATTGTTTTATTTTCTGTTTTTTTTTTTGGTCTTTGTTTTAAATTAGCAAAAAAAAAGGCCATAATGGATTGTAGTAAAGGAATGCTAGCAGATCAACAACATGTTCTACAATGCCAAAGGAGGTCAGCCAATTACAAGCCAAACATTTGGAAATATGATCTTCTACAGTCTCTTGCAACTCAATACAATGTGAGGATTATATTAAATATATATATGTATATATTAAATGCGGTTTTAGTTTTAAGAATGTACAAGTATTTTAAACATTTTAATTCTAAAAATTGTGACATTTAATCCCTCTTGTTTATGTATTGTGGCAATTTGTTTCTTTAGTTCTAATTGTAATGTCCTGAAGTTTTCAATAGATAAAAATGTCCATTTAAAACTAAACTGAAATCAAAAGGGGCGGAATAATCCACTTACTCTCCTCAAAGTGATTAAATGGTTGGCGTTCAATTTGAAACGGTCTATTCCACTTTGAATGAACTATATTACTCTTCATTTTTATCCAAAATTTTAACAGAAGTTATCAATTAGATTAAATTTGACACAAGAAACTACAAGTATAATTTTCTATATTATTTATTAAAAAAAAATGAAAATGCTTATTGTCTGTCAATGTGCAGGAAGAAGAATATAAAAGGCAAGTTGAGAAGCTAAAAGAGGAAGTTATGTGCATGTTCATGGAAGCAGTGGACCTAGTAGCTAAGTTGGAGTTCATAGACAACATAGAAAAACTAGGTCTTGCCAACCTCTTTGAAATGGAAATCAAAGAAGCTCTAGACACCATTGTAGCTTTTAAGAACAACCATCCCATTACAGAAGCGGGTCTCTATGCTAATGCTCTATTCTTTAGGCTCCTTAGGCAGCATGGATTTAATATTTCTCAAGGTATACAACTTCATTTCAAAAGAAAAATAACAAAAAATAGTAAAAAAAAGTTGAGTAAAAAAAGTTAAGCTGGCGCCCTGCATTAATTTTGGATGTATTCCTCGAGACTAAGATTAATGTAGTACTGTTTTGGACACTTTTCTACGAAAATTTTATAGTTTAGAACATTATTGAATAGAAGTCCACATTCTTCATTATGTTAACGCTTCATTTATTTTGGTAAAAACATTTCTTTCTTTTTTATTTTCTTTATTTTCATATTTTCTAGACTTCAGTATGATAGAAAACAAGTTTATTTGAATGAAAAATATTTTTTACAACCGCCACAATAACTAACCTTCTCCCAACTAATCATTATCACTTACCATCATTGTTGCCACCATTATTACTATCACCACCACCACCACCACCACTCTGCTACCCCTACCACCACCAATAATACAATTATTATCACATTAGTTTTAAGGTCGCAACCAAATAGAAAAACACATTTCTACAATATTTTTTGCCAAAACAAAGTAACTTTATGTGCTAAGCAATTTTTTGCTCTCCTATACCTAAAGTGCATATCTTTTAATTCAGATATATTTAGAGGCTTCACCAGCAAGATGGGTACATTCATCAAAACCACAAACTGTGATACTAAAGCAATGCTTGAGCTTCTTGAAGCCTCACATCTAGCATTAGAGGGTGAAAACATACTGATTGAAGCTAAAGCATTCTCTACTGGGATTCTGAAGAATATCACCAATTCAAAAAATGTAGAGAACAAAGTTACCAAACAATTGAGCCATGCTTTGGAGCTTCCATTGCAGTGGAGAGTACAGTGGTATGATGTCAAGAGTCACATCCATGAGCTTGAAAGCAATGACAACACAAACTCAGTTTTGCTCAAGTTAGCAAAGCTTAACTTCAACATGGTTCAAGCCACACATCAAAATGATCTCAAGGAGATATCGAGGTAATGACAAAAATATGAATGATGATGTCTCCTGAGATGCGACTGTGTCCATTCAATGAGATTGTCATTTTTTTATCAATTTTTATTTATATTTTTTTTTAAATCATATAATTATTAGGCTCCTGTTATTAATTGGACACATCAGAATGAAATTTTCAAAAGACATCAAAAGAAAAGCATAAAGAGAGTAGAGAGAGGGTGTGGACACACTTTTTTAGTACATTTTGTTTTTCTATGTTTAACGGACGCGCCGTGCACTACAATTTCACTTAATAAACACTTATGAGAAATGGGAAGGCGTTCGACGCACCATTTATATATATATATTTTTTATCGGCGAATATATATATATAATTTTTATGAGCGAAAGTGAGTTGTTAATTGTTAAATTAATATTTACGAGAGTTAATTTCTTTATTTTTTGCAAAGTACTAAGTGTTTGTCTCTTAAATTCAAATCCCCATAAGAAAAGTTGAACCCATGACCTTTCCCTAGAAACTAAACCCTTAGAAAAGTCATTGTAACCAATTAGGTTCGACACACCCCTTATATGGTATATGGTATGTATGACATGTATTTTTGTTACGTATTTTTTGATATATGTCATATATTTTTTTGTGAGAAATGTTATTAATTTTTTGGTTGAGCTATGAAATTTTTTAGTTCATAAATGAAATTACATATTTTTATGGTAGTGTTACGCACTATTATGATAAGCAACACATTTTGTGATTCAAAAAAATTTGGATAAAAAATTAGGTAACATCAATACAAAAATGCCTATCATTATCATAAAATATTAATTTTATTTTTTAACCACAAATTGATGCAACTCTGTAATGAAATTACATGAGATTTGTTACAAAAATACGTAATATATCCCGTAAAAATGTATACACTATAGCATATAAGAATTTTAAAAATCAAATTTTTTGGTCCCTGAAAAATCTGCACAACAATCAAACACATTCAAAAAACTTTACATATGAGAGAATGGGTGGGCATGAGCTAGCAGAGGCGGCTCAAAATAATTTAATTTTTATAATAATTTTTTCTAACATATCATATTTAATTCATAGTATAACTGATGCACTTACTCACTCTTGTGAAATATTTGATCTTAGGTAGAGTTTTTTAAATTTTGATTTTTTTTTCTTTTATGTAGAAATAACAATTGCATGTATTGCTAATTAACAATATTTTGCAAGTAATGCATGCGTTTGAAAACAAATTTAATACTTTTATATAATTTATTACATCAATTAGAGATTTTTTTTAAAATTTTATTTATTTATTTTTTTAAGTTTTAATATGATAAATAAAATACTAATTTTTTCCCAATAAAAAAAAATGGAGCATTTTTCTCTAACTCTAAAATATCTTTTAAAAATTTTAAATTAAAAAAAAAATCATTAGTATGAGAAAATTGTCATGTTTTAGATTATTTTTGATATTAATATAATATTTTTTAAACTATCATAGTCTAACAATGTATTGCAACTTATTGTTTCTCATTAATTTGTAATTTTTTGTGTGTTTTATTTATGTATTATTAGGATTTTTTTGAATAAGTTGTAACCAAACATCTTATTATTTTGTGTGATTCAGGTGGTGGAAGAATCTTTGTCCGGTAGAAAACTTGAGTTTTACAAGGAATCGACTGGTTGAAAGTTATTTGTGGGCAGTGGGAGTTGCATTTGAGCCTCAACACAAAAGTTTTAGAAAATGGCTAACAAAAGCCATAAATTTCGTCCTAATAATTGATGATATTTATGATATTTATGGATCATTGGAAGAACTAGAGTGTTTCACTAATTCAGTTGAGAGGTTAGTCTTCACAAATATTCACCAAAGAGTAATTCTACATAATAAAAAAAAAAAGGCACGAAATCTTTTGCCTTAAATCCTTATGTTATTCTATCTCTGAAAGAACGCTCAAAGTAATTAAATTATGTCTTGAGATTCTAGTATTTCAAAATTCTCACATGATTTAAAAGCCGTGAATGTCTTAGAACAAGAGGTCACAAAGGTCTAGAAACAGAAGATCTGTGGCCTTCAAAAAAGTCTTTAGCTAGAAAACCGTGTACACGTTACATAGTGTTTTTTGGATGCTTATCTCGATACTTCTCTTTTCAAATTTTAAAATTACTCATAAAAGAACCATAGGCTACTTTTAATTGATGTTTAAGATTCTAATCAAAATCTTGATATCAGGTGGGATGACAAGGAAATTCAACGACTTCCAGAGTGCATGAAGATTTGCTTTCAAGCGTTCTACAACACTATTAATGAAGTTGCTCATGAAATTCAAAAAGAAAAGGGTTGGAAGAACTCAATATTACCTTATCTACACAAAGTGGTACTTTCAATTCTTCTTCTAATTTTCATTCACTCAGCATGATTTACGTTTGTGTTTGTTTCAACAGAAAATGTTTTCTTAAAAATGATGAAAAATGTTTTAATGGTTTCATATTTTTTGGTATTTAGTATGACAAAAAACAAAAGTCATTTATTTTTTTTTTAATTTTTTTTTTCATATTCAATGGAAATAAGCTTACTTTGGTGAAAAACATTTGGTGTAAGTCTTACTAAGGTATGCTACCATCATTGATACCTTATGACTGTTGTAGCCAGCTTCACCGCCTCTCTATCTCCCCTACCAACGTCATTGCCACTACCGCTATCCCCACCCCTACTACCGCTATTACAATCACTATCATATTATTTTTCAAAATATATTCTTTGTAAAAAGATGTGTACAAAGTTTGAATTACATTGAAAAACGTTTTCCACCACCACCGCCACCATGGGTAGCTTAAGCTCAAAGCAAGTGAAGCATTTGCGTTATGCCTCATTGCTCTTCAAGGGGAACAAGTGGGTGTACTATGCTTATAAGGCACAATACGGTGTTTTAAGGGCCCATGGGCCTTGTCCCAAGCCCATGTCGTTGATCCGAACATATTATATTATAGAATTCGTTGAGTAGATCATTTATAAAAAATAAAAAATCAAAATCAAATTAATTGAATGGCTATAAACTCAAAACCGAACCAAATTTGTTTTCAAAAAAATAAATGATTAAAATAATTTTGATAATTTCGGACAGACTCTCTTGTTTAGAATTTCTTAAAGGCTATCAATTTTTTGAAAATTCCAAACTTCCACTCTTTGAATTTATTAACCGAACAAAAGAATCTTCAAAATACCTAACAAAACAATACTCTCCTTGTCCTGAGGCTCAACACAAAAACAAACCTCCCTACCCAGAGGGCAACAAAATAAACATTGTTAGTGTCTATAGTCCCTCAATTGGTGATGATGAATATGATCCATTCTTTATCCACTACAAGAAATTAGCTTTTTAGGGATAAATTATTCCGTCTTTAAAAGTGTAATATTTGTTAGGAAAAACTTAAGCCAATCAATTTTCTCCGTCTCGAAGTTTGTCGCAAATGGCCCGCCCGAAAAAGTCAAAAAATGACTTTTAGAGACAAAATTTTGCATTTGTCACTATAAATAGACTTTTAGAGACAAAAATATGTGGTCGCAAAAAGTTTTGATTTTGAGGCGACCAAAATTTGTTTCTAAAAGTCTAATTATAGTAACGGTCGGAGTAGTTATGGAGACAAAAATTAATTTTTGAGACAACCAAAATTGGTCTCTAAAAGTTTAGTTTTTGGGACAAATTAAAGTGGTCTCCGAAAGTTTTTGTTTTTGGAACAAATGAAAGTGGTGTGTAAAGGTTATAATTTTTTTGAGACAACTAAAATTGGTGTCTAAAAGTTTGATATTTTTTATTTTTTATTTTTTGTAACAATTACTCTAAAAATATTAGTCTGAATATCAACTTATATTCCTTTCTTGATTTCTCAACAACCAAACAAAAAATATCAAGCATATCACCAGACTATTTGTTCATCTCCAAATTAAAATTCAACTACACGAAAAAAAAAAATGCTCATCACATTCAAAGAGGCTTAATCAAAAGATATTTTAATAACAAACAAATACCATGATCTGATTCATTAGTGTGTAATATCTTGATTGTATATCATTAACTGACAGAGATTTCAAAAGTATCATTTCTAATTTATAAGGCTAGTACCATAAGCATTGTTTGTAGCATTCAACTAGTCAATAAACAGATTGTAATTGGAGTTATATCTACCTACATAACAAAATAACTCAACTCATCGCATCTTCTTCTCAATGGCTTCGTTGAAATAGCATTCAAAATATAGCAGTGAGCTCCCAAACTTCAAATCGATGCAAACTTGCAGGACTTGCATAGAATAGGCCAAACTCTCAAATAGATTACCAATTAAAAATTATCCAACGATAGATTAATTTAATATATTGAAATTTAATGTGTCAATTGTAGTATCTGCAGCAATCACACATAAATTGTAATACACAAAGCAACCCAAAATTCACTATCAATATTCAAGAGTTAACAAAGATTAAACTAAATCAACTTGCTACAAAAATTTGAAAATAATTACTCCTAGATAGACACAGACTATATTGATGTTGTGAAAACAAGATGAAGAATGGTTGCCTATTTACTCCTCAACTCAGTCATCAAAGCAATTTTGAGGCCAATTGAAAATTAGTAATCTATTTAATTTCCAGACCTAATCTCAAAAACTTTCCTGCATTAGAATTTAGATACATGGACACATTTATGGTGCTTGCTTTGTTTCTGAAGCCTCTCATGTAATCAAAGATATTAGTCAAACCCAGAGAAAAGCCATATCCCTGTAAATATTTTCAGCTTCCTCTTGTTTCAATGTTATACATAATCAACAATATATTGATAATGAACAGACCGATATCACAATCCAGAATGGTCAAGTAATATAAGCAGAAGTCAACCAACAATATAGTACTTTAATTATTAATTCCAAATATAAAAAAAGCAACAAGGTGGAGTAGGTTCTCAACAATATTGATTGAAATTCAGCAATTAACAATCATGGGTATGTCAAAGAAAACAATTAGCATTTGAAGAATAAACAAACCTTAATTTTGTCTCTAAAAATTTGTCAATAAAACCTTAATTTCTTGTAATGACCCAAAGGTCGAGCAAGAATTTTTTGTTTTAATTTAAAAATCAAACAAAATAAACTAATAATTAAAGTCCTTATGGCCCATCTTAATTACAAGAATATAAATATGAAGAAAAAATATCAATTAAATTAATATATAAATATAAAATAGTCTTGGTTGACATTTTGCTTTGCACCTTGAAGTGTCTACACCTACCATTGCCACCATTGCTACCACAACTACTACCACCCCCGGCTCTCTAAACACCACTTCTGTCACAACCACTGTCATCTCATTTTCAAGCTCGCAAAAAATTAATAACATTCTGTGTGGAAGTCATATTTTGGGAAAATATTTTTCTACAAAGCAAATTGAGTTTGAGTTTGTCAATGAAAACCCTTGTTCAGTGGGCAGACTTTTGCAAAGCATTACTTGTGGAAGCAAGGTGGTACAACAAGAGTTACACACCAACCCTAGACGAGTATCTTGAAAATGGGTTGGTTTCATCATCTGGACCTGTTCTTTCTCTGCTTGCATTTTTCTCTGTTATGGAAGAGACAACAAGAGAAGAGCTTGTAGATCTTTTGGCAAAATTGATAATGAACAGACCGATATCACAATCCAGAATGGTCAAGTAATATAAGCAAAAGTCAACCAACAATCTAGTGCTTTAATTATTAATTCCAAATATAAAAAAAGCAACAATGTGGAGTAGGTTCTCAACAATATTGATTGAAATTCCGCAATTAACAATCATGGGTATGTCAAAGAAAACAATTAGCATTTGAAGAATAAACAAACCTTAATTTTGTCTCTAAAAATTTGTCTTTAAAACCTTAATTTCTTGTAATGATCCAAAGGTCGAGCAAGAATTTTTTGTTTTAATTTAAAAATCAAACAAACTAAACTAATAATTAAAGTCCGTATAGCCCATCTTAATTACAAGAATATAAATATGAAGAAAAAATAGTCTTGATTGACATTTTGCTTTGCACCTTGAAGTGTCTACACCTACCATTGCCACCATTGCTACCACAACTACTACCATCCCCAGCTCTCTAAACACTACTTCTGTCACAACCACTGTCATCTCATTTTCAAGCTCGCAAAAAATTAATAACATTCTGTGTGGAAGTCATATTTTGGGAAAATATTTTTCTACAAAGCAAATTGAGTTTGAGTTTGTCAATGAAAACCCTTGTTCAGTGGGCAGACTTTTGCAAAGCATTACTTGTGGAAGCAAGGTGGTACAACAAGAGTTACACACCAACCCTAGACGAGTATCTTGAAAATGGGTTGGTTTCATCATCTGGACCTGTTCTTTCTCTGCTTGCATTTTTCTCTGTTATGGAAGAGACAACAAGAGAAGAGCTTGTAGATCTTTTGGCAAAGAGTGATGTTCTTGTGCATTGTACATCAATGATCATTCGACTTTGCAATGACCTTGGAACTTCTGCGGTAATTACTCTCTTCATTAAAATCTACCCGAAAAGTATTTTAATGCAAAAATGAAAATGATATTTGAATTTTTCATTCTTTTGTTTTCGAAAAAACAAGAAAAATAAAAATAGAGCCAAACAAGCCCCATGGAACTGTTTGGTTACAATTTTGTTTGTTTTGTTTTGATCTGTTTATTTATTGATTTTTGGTGTATTTGTTTTCAATTTTTTATGAGCACAAACTAAAGAGCAATGGAGTTCTTGATATTATTCCCTTTTTCACACTAAAATACAGAGATGGTCTATGTATATATAACAAGAGATAATGACCATAACTACCTAACCAACAATTAACTACTTGTGGTTAAGGCCTAACAAACTAACTACCTTCCTAACAAACTAACTACCTCAAGAATACTCTAGAATGCACTGATAAGCTGAAGCCTTCTGTGCTGAAACTGTAGCTTGAGTGGCTGCTTGAGTGGCTTGTGTGGCTGGGTTATCAGGTTGCTTATCAGAAACTTGTTCAATATATTGTTTCTGAAAGAAAAAAATAATAATTGAAAACAATCGAGTTTCAAGAAACACGTTTCTTTGAAATTCAAAAAAATTTTTGCAGCAAAAAATTGAACTTGGTGGGTATTTTCAAACTTTTAATTGTTTTCTTTATGAAAATACAAAGAATTAAAAAAAAAAATCATATTTAAGTACAACCCATATCAACATGGTAAATTGAATTTTAATTTCTTGCCCAAAATACAAAGAGAGGAGATGCTCCATCATCAATCCTTTGTTTTATGAGAGAAGCCAATGTCTCAGAGGAGATAGCCAGGAAGAAGATTAGAACCACAATAAAGGATACATGGAACAAAATTAACCATGAATTCATCACCCAATCTCCTTTTTTGCAACCATTTGTCAAATACACTGTCAACACAGCTAGAGTGGCTCATTTTATTTACCAACATGGAGATGGTTTTGGTAATCAAGATCGCGAGACTCGAGCCCAAGTCCTCTCTATGCTTATCGAACCTCTCAAGATCAATTGAAATGTCGGTTTTCAGAGTAATTGCTCAACAGTTTCAGAGTACCAACTCAATATTTGAAGCAATTTAATGGTGCTTGTTTAGTAGAATAATCAGCTTCTTTCTAGTTTGGGTATAGACTGGAGAGGTTCAGTTCAACCTATCGGACCCTCCACAGGTCTCACCAAATAATTTGAGTCTTTTTAGAGTAATTATTGAGTAGTTTTGAATTATCAGTATAGTTTGAGTGCCCTCATATATCTCTTACATCAATAATATTCTCTCTTTTGCCAATAAAAAAAATTAAAAATTGAGAAAAGTTGGATACATACAATTTCCTCTCCATGATTTTCACAAATGAGGTGGCAATATACTGCAAGTTCTATACCAATTAGAATATAGGTCAATTTTTAAAATTTTACCTGCCACCTCATTTGTTAGGATTGTGAGGGAGGAACTTATACCAAATTTAAAGAATTAAACAAAGTAGTGAAAGTGTTGTTTTGTTTGGATATTAATAAAAGGACTAAATATTACAATATTTTCTTACTCACGGGTATGTCACTTATCAGATTGTTGAAGTTTTGCTTCAAATTTCAAAATTTATTTATTACATAACACGTCACCTAGTAAAAATAAAGTAAAATCCGTTCACATGTACGACTTTTTTTCTAATAAGAACATGCATTGGGCAACTATTGGATAACTATGTTTTTTTAATTGAATCCAACGACTGCTGTAAACAAGAGAAAATAAATTATCACATTGGTCTAAAAAATTACGTGAATGCCTAATCAATGGCATTTCTTATAATTTGCTCACCATTATTTTTATTCTTTAACCATATAAACATATAATTCATTATTATTAGTTGAGTACACCCAACCAAAACAATGTAATTTACTCATCATTGGTTATTGGTTTGAAGCATCGTTCTAGTAGAACTGGCAAAACAGCGACAGATGGGCCAAATTAGAAAAATAAAAAAAAATAATAAATTATTTTTCCTGTATAGAGTACAAAATATCAGGTTGTCCTGATTAAACATTGCTGTAACTTTATATGAAAAATTATGGTTCAGCCATTAAGGAATGGATCAATGGTTAAATGTTCTACTTCTTTTTGCGTCTTGAGTTTAGGCTCAATAATAATTACTTGATATGATATATGTAGAATGAAGAGATTATAGTATTCGAGAAAGTCAATCCGTACTCTTTTTAAAGTAAAATTGAAGAGATTATGGTACTCGAGAAAGTCGATCCATACTCTTTCTAAAATAAAATTAATGAGAAAAAAAACAAAAGAATACAAGATGAACCTCATTTACTAAGGCTTTGGTTTAAGGATTTGGAAAAAGATTTAAAAATTGAAAGGAGAAAGATAGGTGGAATATAAATAAAATGTACCCATATTTCAATTAATTTCACACATTTTTCCTTTCTTCTTTTTTTTTTTTTTTTCTAATTCTGTCTTCAAATTTATAAATCAAACACAGGCTAAATATATGGACTAGGGTTTTGGATAAGGCGGATCAAGCCCCCACTAGCCAACCCAAAACTGAGTCCACGATCAATACAACCCATTAACTGACCAACCGATCCAATTACTATATATATTGGGCTAATGAAGATCAATAGAAATATTGGAAATAGGAATCTGATTAGATGGAACTGTGGATAGAAGAGGAATAGAAGAGGAAGAGACTGTTTGAGCTTCTGAGTGAGGTTCAATAGCAGACGAAGAGACTGCCTGAGCTGAGGGCAGGTCAGTAGGAGGAAGGAAAATAGGTGGCTGAGCTACTGACTGAGGGATAGCAGCTGGTGATGAAACTGGAAAAGAATATGGAGCTTGCTGTGACTGAGCTGGTGAAGAAGGAATGGCAGCCGTAGTCTGAGGTGCGGCAGCTGGTGAAGCTGAAAAGGGATGTGTATGCTGAGGTGCTGTAGTAGAAACATATGAAGGAAAAGAAGAACTGGACTTATCTGAGGGAGACCAAAAGAAATTCAGCAAATGTGATATGGAAGAGGATGCAGAAACAGAAGGATGAGAAGACTGAAATGGAAAACATAATTCATCAAAGATCACATGTCTAGAGATATAGACCCTTCCTGTGGTAGGATCAAGGCACCTATAACCTTTAATAGAAGGTTGATAACCAAGAAAGACACAAGGAATAGATTTGGGTTGAAGTTTATGAGATGTGTAAGGTTGAAGCCATGGATAGCATCTACATCCAAAAGATCTCAAGAAAGTGTAATCAGGTTTTTGTTTGAACAAAACTTCATACGGAGTGAGATTTTGAAGCTTGAGTGTGGGATGTCTGTTAACAAGAAAGACAGCAGTGGCAAGTGCATCAAACCAGTAAGCCAAATGAAGAGAGGATTGATGCATAAGTGTCACAGTAGTCTCTATGAGATGCCTGTGTTTTCTTTCAGCAACACCATTTTGTGATGGTGTATGAGGACAAGTAAGTTGATGCTCAATACCTTTTTGTTTGAGAAACAATTGAAATGATTTACTCAAATATTCGCCCCCATTGTCACTCCTTAATACTTGAAGATGAGTATGAAACTGATTCTCAACAAAACTTTTAAATTCAAGAAATTTGTCAAACACCTCACTTTTGTAATGAAGAGGAAAAACCCAAGTAAATTTGCTAAAATCATCAATGAACAACACATAGTATTTAAAACGAGAATTAGAAACAGAAAATGGACCCCACACATCTGTGTGAATAAGGGCCAAAGGTTTATTGACAGTGGAATTAGACAAAGAAAAAGGCAACCGATGACTTTTACTAACACAACAATGTTCACACAGACTGGTGGTCTTGTTAGACAAAGTTGAAGACTTAGAACCTAAGTGATGATGAGCCATAATGTGCTGAAGTTTCTTGGAAGATGGATGACCAAGTCTTGAATGCCAATCAGCTGAAGTAGTAGAACATGAAAGACAGACTGATGAAGGAACAAAGGAACCAGCAGAGGATGAAGAAATGAGTGGATAAAGGCCATTGGTGTAGCAACCTTTATACAGAATATTCTGAGTATTCTTGTCCTGAACAAGAAAGAAATCTTTATCAAAAGTAATAGTACAATGATTATCCTTGGTTAACTGATGTACTGAGAGTAAATTGGAAGAAAGAGTAGGCACATGCAACAGGTTGGTAAGATGAAAAGGAAAAGAAGGGGTAGGAAGGAGTCCTTTACCAGTATGAGCAATGGGAAGAGTAGAACCATCACCAATAGCCACTTGATCTTGACCTTGATATGGTTGGTAAAGAGAGAGGTTACGTAAATCATTTGTCATGTGGCTAGTGGCTCCAGAATCAAGAAACCAGTTGGTTTCAGATGAAGAAGGAGAAGAGATGGAGGATGTATGAGCAGAGGCTACATAAGCTTGACTTTGACCTGGAGAGGATTTGAAGGATGAAGAGGAAGCTTGAGAACTCTGAAAAGCAGCATCCAATCTGTGCCAACAGTCTAGAGTAGTGTGGCTTGCCTTGCCACAGATTTGACAAATTAATGGGGCATTAACTGTGCTGTTTACAGAGCTGGAGCTAGATCTTGGATTGTGTGCAGAGCTATATCTGCTTTTCTGAAACTGATTTGATCCTCCTCTCTGATAATGACTAGACATCTGACCATGAAACCTACCTCCATCCCTTCCTCTGAAAGGGCCTCTGCCCCTGTAATAGCCTTTCTGACTTCCTTTATTAGCATACTGGCCTCGAGGAGCAATATAGGCAACAGATCCTGGTATTTCTGAAATTTGTTGATGCTTAAGAGAAGACTCTATGTGAATTGATTCAGAACACAGAAGAGAGCAGAGTTGATCCACAGTAATAGGATCTGATCTGGCTCTTATTGTAGTTTTGAAAGCATTATATTCTTCAGGTAGTCCATTCAGAATTAAAAGGACTAAATCCTCATCATCAACTGATGATGAAGCCAAAGCAAGCTGATCTGCAAGAACTTTGAATTTGTGCAGATAGTCTTCCATAGTTGATCCTTTCTTCACAATATGACTTAATTTGTTCTTCAGTTGATGGATATGAGATCGAGAAAGAGAAGTAAACCGTTTGGCAAGAGTATGCCAAACATCATAACTAGTTTGACAGTGAATTACAGATGTGAAAAGTGAAGGTGATAGAGTTGCTGTTATGCAACTCAAGAGATGTGCATCAATTGTAGTCCATAGAGTATGCTTGGGATTCAGAATTTCAAGATGATTTCAATCTAAGATAACTGGTGCAGGACATACTTCAGATCCGTCCACATAGCCATGAAGCTTGGTTGCTCTTAAGATGTTGTAAAATTGATTCTTCCAAACTATGTAATTGGATGAATCAAGCTTGATAGTAACGAATGCATTAAGATTTGAGATCAACAATTTGAGGTTTGAAGGAATGGCAGAAGAAGACTCTGGTATACTTTCTGGGACACCTATGGGAATGGAACTCTCTCTATCTCTTCCGTTTGTCCATTCCCTCACCCTCTCTGTTTTTTACTGATCCTTCCACTGATCTATTTTCTGATGATCTTCCTCCACCACCCACGCCAGCTTCTCTCGAGATCGCCGTGCCTGCTGGACTGTCCCATGCCCCTGCTCCCTCTGATGGTCCTGCTCTTGCTTCCTCGGACTCCTCCTCTCCTACTGAGTCTCTTCCTCTGGCTCCTCCTCCGTCTGCTAGACCACGCCGGGTAACACAACCTTCTACTCGTCTTCGTGACTTTATTGTTGGCTCTACTGCTTTTTCTACTTATGAACCGACCTCCTATCGTGAGGCTCGCTCTAATCCTCTTTGGCAGCAAGCTATGACTACTAAATTGCAGGCATTAGCCAAAACCCATACTTGGGACATTGTTGATCTTCCTCCTGGCAAGTCTGCCATTGGCTGCAAATAGGTATACAAAATCAAGACTTGTTCTGATGGCTCTATTGAGCGCTACAAAGCCCGCCTTGTTGCCAAAGGCTTTAACCAAGAATATGGTATTGACTATGAAGAGACCTTTGCTCCTGTTGCTCGTCTCACCTCTGTTCGCAGCTTGATTGCTGTTGCTACCTCCCGCCGCTGGGATCTTTATCAAATGGACGTCACCAATGCTTTTCTTAATGGTGTTCTTCTCGAGGAGGTTTACATGCAACCTCCCCCCGGGTCTACTTATCCACCTCATAAAGTCTGCAAGCTTCGGCGTGCCTTATACGGTCTCAAACAAGCTCCACGCACTTGGTTTGCCATGTTCAGCTCTACTATTCATGACTATGGTTTCACCTCCAGCTCTTATGATACTGCTCTTTTTATCCGAAAAACAGCTCAAGGGACCACCCTGCTTTTACTTTATGTGGATGACATGATTTTCACCGGTGATGATATCGATGGTATTCTTCGCCTTAAACAGTTTCTTAGCCACCATTTCGAGATGAAAGACCTTGGTCCTCTCAGCTATTTCTTGGGTCTTGAAATCTTCCATGATTCTACATATGATCACCTATGTTTCTACGTGGTTAAGCACATGATCACTATCTAATACAAAACATTTTTAGATTTTTATTCTTTTCCTGCACTTTTTCACCTCTTTCACCATAAATAAACTCCGTTTTTTTAGGATATTAGTGCCATGCTTTTGAACATTATCGATTTAACTGCAGGCAGAACTAGAGAGAGGAGATGCTCCATCATCAATCCTTTGTTTTATGAGAGAAGCCAATGTCTCAGAGGAGATAGCCAGGAAGAAGATTAGAACCACAATAAAGGATACGTGGAACAAAATTAACCATGAATTCATCACCCAATCGCCTTTTTTGCAACCATTTGTCAAATGCACTGTCAACACAGCTAGAGTGGCTCATTTTATTTACCAACATGGAGATGGTTTTGGTAATCAAGATCGTGAAACTCGAGCCCAAGTCCTCTCTATGCTTATCGAACCTCTCAAGATCAATTGAAATGTCGGTTTTCAGAGTAATTGCTCAACAGTTTCATAGTACCAACTCAATATTTGAAGCAATTTAATGGTGCTTGTTTAAGTAGAATAATCAGCTTCTTTCTAGTTTGGGTATAGACTGGACATGTTCAGTTCAACCTATCGGACCCTCCACAGGTCTCACCAAATAATTTGAGTCTTTTTAGAGTAATTATTGAGTAGTTTTGAATTATCAGTATAGTTTGAGTGTGCTTATTTAGTTTAAATTAATGACAGATGTGTGTATATTTGCATAATAAATAAACATTGTGCTCCTGTCCAAAAAAAATAAAAAAAATAAACATTGTGTTCGATTCTATAATTTAATTACGTCCTAATAAAAAAAACTAATATCATGCACATGTGGAAATTAAAGGAAAATAGGTTATCTCCTAGTAAGGCTACATTCTCTCTTGGCCACTGCTCATTAATTTATTTGTGGTGTATTCATTTTTAACTCCTCATATATCTCTTACATCAATAATATTCTCTCTTTTGCCAATAAAAAAAATTAAAAATTGAGAAAAGTTGGATACATACTGCAAGTTCTATACCAATTAGAATATAGGTCAATTTTTAAAATTTTACCTGCCACCTCATTTGTTAGGATTGTGAGGGAGGAACTTATGTGAATGTACCAAATTTAAAGAATTAAACAAAGTAATGAAAGTGTTGTTTTGTTTCGATATTAATAAAAGGACTAAATATTACAATATTTTCTTACTCACTGGTATGTCACTTATCAGATTTGTTAGTCTATTATTATACTTTAGCATTGTTTATTCTTTAGTTGTTATTACTTTGTATACTTTAGCATTAAGTTGTTATTATTATGTTTGTTTGCTTTATACTTTCGGCTCAGTGCCTTTATGCTTTCGGCTCAGTGCCTCGCGTCTCGCATGCCTCGCATAGGCTATAAGAAGCGAGCTAAGCACCCCTTAATTGTACAACAAATTCAATATACATACCTCATTTATTTCTCTTTCAAGATTGTTGAAGCTTTGCTTCAAATTTCAAAATTTATTTATTACATAACACGTTACCTAGTAAAAATAAAGTAAAATCCGTTCACATGTACGACTTTTTTTCTAATAAGAACATGCATTGGGCAACTATTGGATAATGTTTTTTTAATTGAATCCAACGACTGCTGTAAACAAGAGAAAATAAATTATCACATTGGTCTAAAAAATTACGTGAATGCCTAATCAATGGCATTTCTTATAATTTGCTCACCATTATATTTATTCTTTAACCATATAAACATATAATACATTATTATTAGTTGAGCACACCCAACCAAAACAGTGTAATTTACTCTTCATTGGTTATTGGTTTGAAGCATCGTTCTAGTAGAACTGGCAAAACAACGACAGGTGGGCCAAATTAGAAAAATAAAAAATAATAATAAATTATTTTTCCTGTATAGAGTACAAAATATTAGGTTGTCCTGATTAAACATTGCTGTAACTTTATATGAAAAATTATGGTTCAACCATTAAGGAATGCATCAATGGTTAAATATTCTATTTCTTTTTGCGTCTTGAGTTTTGGCTCAATAATAATTACTTGATATGATATATGTAGAACGAAGAGATTATAGTACTCGAGAAAGTCAATCCATACTCTTTTTAAAATAAAATTGAAGAGATTATGGTACTCGAGAAAGCCGATCCATACTCTTTCTAAAATAAAATTAATGAAAAAATAAACAAAAGAATACAAGATGAACCTCATTTGCTAAGGCTTTGGTTTAAGGATTTGGAAAAAGATTTAAAAATGGAAAGGAGAAAGATAGGTGAAATGTAAATAAAATGTATCCATATTTTACTTAATTTCACACATTTTTTATTTTTTTTTATTTTTTTCTAATTCCGTCTTCAAATGTATAAATCAAACACAGACTAAATATATGGACTAGGGTTTTGGATAAGGCGGATCAAGCCCCCACTAGCCAACCCAAAACTGAGTCCAGGAGAAATAAAAATTCACGAAACAATTCATATGAAAAAATTTTACCCATTCAGAGTAAATTATTATTATTATTATTATTATTATTATTATTATTATTATCATGAATTGTTTTTTATTATGGTTTCGTTTGTTTGACATAAAATATTTTCTTATTAAAATATCCTAATTCATTTTTCATTGTTTGGTTGAATGAAAAAAAAAAAACAAAAATTATTTTTCATTACAGTCCCAAAAATAATTTGACGTATGCAAGTAAATTTTCATAAAATTTACTAATAGTTACGGCTCTTTCAACGTATTTGATCTTTTGAAATATGTATCCTAACTCACAAAAGAGCCATCTATAATAGAAATTTTTTATTTCAAGCGTCAATTGAATACCGAAAAACAAAAACAAAAAATAATAGGCTTCTTTTGTACAAAATAAATTAATTTTTTTTTTTTTTTTTTTTGTGAATAATTTATTTGATAAGTCTTATAATATAAATGATTCAAATTATGAAAATAAGTTCAAGACAAACTCATTTCTTAGAAACTCCATCCAAATAGAATATTTATAATTAAAGGGGAACACTTTCATGAATGTGAAACCTACTCTTTAGTCTTTTCAATGTGTACATTCACATTTACAAAATCCAAAAATGTGTTTGGGGCTCCCGACAATGTTATCGAAACTTGGTGAATGTAAGGTTTACAAATGAGAGTTTGGGTCATACGTCAAAAAAGGTGGACCCCAACATAAGCTTCATATGAAAGAAGCAAACGGAGTGTAACTTCCTCCAAAACCAATTACACTTCTTTTGAAGTTTCAATGTGGAGAAACAAAGAGGAAAACAGAGTAAACAAGTCAACCGTCAAAGCAAGAAAACTTTAGCATTCACTATCTTCTGAACTCAAACAGTCTCTCTGATATCTACAGTACAATCATATAGAGACTGATATCAAAGAGTCTATAGCTGTATGTCAAAATTGATATATATTTTGATATTGTTGTCCTGATAGATGGCAAGGTATCTTGATATGGTGGGTAGTGGTGGGAGGTGGTGGCGGTGGTGGTACTGAAACGGATGAAGCTACCTTCTATCTCTGCATGATTGTTATGTCGGTGTCGATCGTATCAATGATCATCTTTGCTTTTGGTTTGTCTGATCGCAAACAACATGACTAGTCAATGACGCCGCTGCTGTGAGCGGGGGTGATGGCGGTGGGGGCGGTGGTTGTGATGGAGTTTCAAAAAGTACTTTCTTGTTTGTTTGTTTGTTTGTTTTTTTTTTTTTTTTTTAAGCATTTGTTAATAAAGCAAGAAATTAGTAAACAAAAAGTCTACGTGCACAAAAAAATTTCAGACATGTTTCCATGAAAAATTTCTGTGCAAGTAGCTTAGTTGATAAGTAGAAGCAATAAAAACAGACAAATTAAATGGAGGGAAAATTCGGTGTAACTTGCTCTCGGACTTGTGCATTCTTTCTCAAATGACTTCTCCAGTAGTTCTTTATCTCATTATCAGTTCTTCCAGGCAACCTTCGAGCAATTTTTGACCATCTATGAAGTAAACAACAAACATATTTTAAACAAAACTTGGGACAACTTGTATAAGACGCTACTGTTTGGCATAGAAGTATAGGCATAATTTAAGTAGCATAGTAAATTTGGTTCTGTTATGTGAGTCTTGAGGCATTTAAAGGACGTAGAAAAAAGGGCCTTACTTGTTACCCCATTGCTTGTGAAGTTGAAGAATGATCCTCTCTTCTTCTGCACTCAGTCGACCGTGCTTAAGATTGGGACGTAGATAGTTCATCCATCGCATTCTACAACTCTTGCCGCTCCTCCTTAAGCCTACAAGTAAACAATCTCCCTGTAAAACCTACCACTTACATGTAATCATGTTTGGCTGTATTTTTTTGTTTCCTGTTTTCTGTTTTATTTTTCAAAAAACACATAAAACTTGTTTGGTGAACTGTTTAAAAAAATGGTTTTTGAAAAATTTTGTGGAAGCAACTCACTTTTTCTGAAAAACAAAAAAACTTGTTTTTGAATTTTTGGAAACTTCTTCCTTACAAAAATGAGAACGATGAGTTTTTCTGAATTTTTCATCACTTTAATTTAAAAGACAATGCATTAGTTTTCTCTTCTTATTATGTAATTTAAACTGAATTGAACCTGAGACTTTCGCTACTAAATCCCATAGTCTTTCCCCCATAGGTTCCACAATGTTTTCCTTGGTCAAGACCTCTGAAGCAAAAGCAAACTATATAAGAAGATAGTTTCTTAACATGATTAATGATACAATTGTAAGCACAATGGCTTGAAAAATATTTCAATCTGTATTTTGAAAAAGATTGGGAGTCAACACTTGATTTTTTACGATATAACCAAGAATCCAAAAATTTGATAAAAAATATAACCTCTTTACTTCTCTGGGAGAGGAATATGGTCAGGAGAAAGATTAATACTCACAAGACAAATAGTTACAAGCATTCACTATGATCAAAATTTACTATCTATCAACAAATTCTAAAAAACTAAACAGGAGTCTTTAAAATTAGCAGATTTACTAGATATTACTGAGTTAAGAGCCAATTAATAAATAGAAATAAGCAATCACATGGAGAGATACTATTCAACGTGGAAAACCCAAAAGGGTAAAAAACCATGGGACAAACAAACCACTTGTGCTCCAAGATTAAGTAGATTCAGATGCACAGATGGTACCTGCTCTAACACTGAGCAATTCGCTATCCACTTCTGTCCAGTCTCTCACTTTGACTTTATTCTCCACAAGCTCTGCCCAGCACACGATCACAATGTCTGCGTTTGAACATACAAACTAGGACAGAGCATTGTTCAGGGTAGAACAATGTGCATTTGAACAAACTGGCCCAACATTTAAACAATTAACGAAGCCACATTCGAATAGGGCAATACAATTTTTGCATAGTTCATTTCAACTGACACACAGGTATATAAAACCATGTCTAAGGGGCAAACTAAAATTTGCACTCTAAATTTATGGATGAATGTATA